GATGCCTTGGAGCCCGTCATATGGTTGCTGGCACCAGAGTCCAGATACCACCGCTGCTCCTGGTCGGTGCCCACACGTCCGAGGTGGACTTCGGCGCGTGGTTCGTCGAGGTTGACAGTCTTCAGGGCCTTCCCAGGTCCTTCCACCGTCGTCGCCTCTTCCCTCTCCTCGGCCTCGACATCGTGCAGTGCACAGAATGTCGCCATCAGGATAGTGACCTCATCCTCATCATTGGCTTGCGCCAGATGAGTCTGAGCCTTCTTTTCCTGCTTGCGATTTGGGCACTCCCGTGCCCAATGGCCCATCTTCTCGCAACGCCGATAGGCATTGGGGTCGATCTGCTTCTTCTTCTCCGAAGAAGCCCTGTCGGGGTGCTTGCCATCGCCACCGCGGCTGGAGGAGGCTGCCTTCCCGGAGTTCCTCCGAGCAACCCACTCCTCTTCCGTTAGCAATAGTTTCTCGCTGTCCTTCATTGCTGTCGCCTGCTCCAGGTGCTCGTCCACCACCTGCAGACGGCCTGTCACATCTTCAATGGTGAGGGTGGACAAGTCCACCATCGTCTCTATGGAGAGAGCGATCTGGATGTACTTTACCGGCACGGAGTGAAGGTACTTGGAGACCGCCTCCTCTTCCTCGATGGTGACGTCGTGGCTCTTCAGCTTGCTGATGAGCGTCTGCATGCGGAGGGAGAAGTCCTCCACCATTTCACCATCCTTGAACTTGAGGTTGGCGTACTCCTGCTTCAGAAGCTGGGCCGTCGCCTTCTTTGCGCGGTCGGAACCGACGCGCATCGCCGCAATAGCCTCCCATGCCTTCTTAGCCGAGCTCTTCGCCCCCAACGACTCCCTGTACTCCGCCGGTACAGCAGCGAGGATAGCCTCCAACGCTGACATATCATCCTCCTCATTGTCGGTGCCCTTGTCAACAGCATTCCAAAGCCGTCGGGCTCTGAGCTTGACCTTCATGGTCACCGACCATACTCCATAGTTGGTGCGAGTCAGCGTCGGCCAACTGGTACCGCTGACCTCTCGCACCGTGCGAACAATGACCTCCGGTCGTGGCTAAGCAGCCACAGCAGTGCCACTGCTGTCGTCCATGTCCGAACCGCCCATCATCGCCAGTGGTTAGTCTGGCGACGACGCTTGTACGGCTCCGATACCACTTGTTGATCCACAGGATCACCGGCTTAGGTGAGTGAACCACTCACCAGTCTTGCCGAGCACCCGCTAGTGTTGTCGAGCACCCACTAGCCGTGCCGATCACGAACAAGCGTTGTCCGTCCCCACACACTATGGCTAGAGCTAGAAGAAGAAGAGAGAACAGAGTATGCACACACAGTACAAGACACCAGCGTTGGCCGAAACCCTGTTTGGAAGATGGCAAATCTGAACACTCTTTACTGAGTTGCCGTAATAGTCTATTTATACAACTTTATATATCTAGTCCTACTACAGCGCACATGCTGTAACAGTAACTAGATAACATACAAGGCTGACTCTGCATTGGCCTCTACATGTGGCTACAGTGTTGCAGGTGAGCCATGCGACGCCTGTACCTGCAGCAGCTACAGTATCACAGCAGGTGGTCTTTCGACGCCGATGCTAGTCAATGAAACTACATGGAAGATTTCGACATGCTGGTACTGGCGTAGCATTGTGCACGAAGTGAGGCTGCCAGATGCCGTGAAGCGTGAGATTGCTTCATCCCTCAAGTCCACTGCTGCTGAGGGTGGTCATCTAACCAACGGAGAAGCATCGCTGCGGCGGAATGGAGTGTTCATTAGCCAGTTTAAGGACACACTGAAAAGGGAGGACTGGGACCTGACAGACACCATGCTGATATGGCACATCGCGACAAACTACCGTGAGATTGTGGAGACGAGTCAGGACTACTCTGGCCACGATAATGAAACACTCAAGCAGTAGTTTGAGGTTGCCACCAGCTTATCCAGGTACTCTGCATACCTGATGGCCTGTGTCGCGGGACTGCTCCCCGGCAACCCTGCAGATACCAGCTTCACATTTGACAAGGTGATGCAAGAAGCGACAGTGGCGCTGTACCAGGATCAGGAGGATGATGTTCGCGAGCGCGCAAGAGCAGACAGACACGCCCTGGAGAAGGCTTTGACTGAGCTCTCAGAATCATCAGACCAGGAGAATGATAATAATGACACCATCTTCTTCAAAGGGTTGAAGCTTGGGAAGGAGCTGGAGGAGTGCATAGGAGACGGAGAGCTCCGTTGGAAGGTCTTGGCCGAGTTCTGGGCGGAGATTATCCTCTACGTCGCACCATCCGACAATGTCAGAGGGCACCTCGAGCAGCTCGCTAATGGCGGAGAGTTCATAACCCACATCTGGGCTCTCCTTTCTCATGCCGGCATCTTGACCCGGCATCCCAGGCAGCAGGAATCATCTCACACATGACGCATTGACTAATTAACGGCCAGCTGAAGCTGCTTTCTTCATGGTAAGTAGAAGAGAGTGCCATTAGGACACCCCCTCAGTTTGTGTGTTCAATGTTGTGTGGTGTGTGTGCGCGCTTGCAGTTTGGTATCGCTGCAGTAGCAGGGCATTGTATCTTCTCAGTACTGATAACTCGTTCAGTGATTTGCTTTTGATTCTTCACATGGACTTGTCTGAATAGTAAGAGTGGTGTTTTACTCTACTTGTTATTTTTTCCTTTGGAGTGAAAATTTCTTCTTGTGCCTTAAAAAAAAGTCAATATGGTGTAGTTGGATCTCATGTATCTATCATCTTAATTAACATCACAGTCATCCACGTTTGCCAGAAGGTCAAGAAGTTATTAATATGTTAATTAGAAAATATTAATGATTATCAGTGTAAATTGGCTAAGTTCGAAATTAGAAAATTGGAGTCCAATGAAATTGATAATCAAAATACTTAAATAAGTCAGAGATACGGTTATAAACAGAAAATTTGGAACAAAATTGGTTCTACCAGGATTGCAAAGCAAACATACCTAAACATAGAGCCATCAGCCATGCAACGATAGCGCCAATTAGCTAGCTTTTTATTATTATAATATTTATGTATTTTTACGTGAAACTAAATTTTTGCATATAATTTTTTATTTATTTTATTGTAATTGTTCTTTATGAATTTGACTCCAATTTTTTAGCTTATAGCTATTGTCATCTCTCTCTTCTTTTCCTTTCATTTTACCACTGCTATCTCATGGTTGTGCATCTTCTATCAAGATCTAACAATGGTAGCCTTAGGTTTCCTATTGATGAGCTAACTCCATTCTCGATAAAATCGTTATCCAGATCTTTTACAAACCTTCTCTTGTGGAATTAGTAATTTTTTTGTTCTAAGATACTCGGATTTTTCATAATGTTGTTTATATTTACTACAGCCACTGTTGCCTCAAGTAGCTAGCCAGCTATACTAGCGAGTCCCATCATTACACCAGCATCTGTCGATGTCTTAAGCCTTTCCAAATAAACCGTAGAACTATTATTTACATAAGGAGTTGCTAATCTCATACCTGTTACTCATGCCGTCCTATCATACTCTTGTTCGACATGTCGTGCTCACATTTGTTTCCACTTGTGCATAAGTGCAATTTTTTCTATAGACATTCTCTATAGTTTTCTTGTTTTTGTTACATGAAAAATTTAGCTGTATACCTCATCGAATTCTACAATATTATTTTTATATATTAGTTCTCTATAAATTTGATTTTTTTTTATTTTTTTCTGTATCTTCTAATAGAGACATCACATCTTGACCTACATAATCAATATGGTAGTTTTTGTTTCGCCCTTAGATGTGAAAGACATGATTTTTCAAACTTTACTTATAGCACTAGGTATGGAAACCGAACTATTAGTTTCTTATTTCAACTTATAGTACATGTATGGTAGTTTTGATTATCTTTTCACTTATAGTACTATGTATGCATGGTAGTTTCCATTTAGTTATTATTTACGAATGAAATTTGTATGGACAATTTGTTTAGCTATTTTTCTTCCTTTGGAGGCCAAGATATTAGTTTTTTTATAGTTTGTATTCACATTTTGCCTTTACTAAGGCCTCATTTTGGTACAGCTTTGTTTCGTGGTAGAGTAATTTTTTGGCTTCAGCTCCATGAACACCTCTATTGGTGGAGTTAAAACTGTTTTCATAAAACATTCGATGAAAATCTTTTCATAGTATATATGGGAAATGGAGCTAAGACAAACTACTATTTTCAGTTTCATCCGGCTTTCCACCCTGTGTGAGACCGGGTTTTGAGGAGTTCTACTTGAGGAGTTGTTTCATTTTAACCCGTTTGATAAAAACAACTATTGAAAATATTGTAGAAGCTATACCAAATGAGACTTAAGTATATATTTGCATGGGCATTTTATTTAGGTGAAGCTGGGCTATAGCCCCTTGCTCTGGGTCCTCCTCGCATGCATTGATATCCTCCGAGCCATATGCTTTCCTTGCGCTGTAAAAAAAGTTAGAGATGATGAATAGTATCAAACTACTAATTGGCTCCCCCTGATTTATCTGCAAGCTCCGCCACTGGAAGCCGTTCAATCATCAAAAAATTCGACTCGACGGACGTACTATGAGAGGGAACTTGTATAATTTCAAAGGGAATAAGTACTCCCAGAAATGCTTGTATGAAGAACTCAAATTGAGAAAATGTTCAGTTTGAGAGTTCATGAACCTAATGAGAATGCCGGAAAAGTTTAAAAATATATGGTGCATTTCACTTTTGATAAAAGATATCGGATAGGACATGTAGTTTGAAGGGACATGTGGCCCACAATATTTGAAGTTTTACAAACTTATGGGCTATGGCTGACAGATGGGTCAAACAGTTAACTCGTTTCAGGTGCCATGCTGCGCTGGGGAAACATTCCCTGACGGGTAAACAAGTTACTCAATTTATCAGAAGCGGATCCACCCATTTAGACTTTGAAGTGCCAAGTTCTGTTCAGTAAATTTGCCTAAACTAAAAGCCACTGTCTCAGATATGAACAAGTATCAGACTCTGCAGAACTGATCAAACTTGAGACTGGGCTTGGAGTATTTTGAGCTCAGTATCGCTTTGGCCACAACCGCATTGGCTGCCTCCGTTAGGTGCACGCCATCCCAGCTGACGAACTTTGAGCCGTCATCGCAGGCCGTCACATTCTTAGACTGGCAACCCTTGTTGAAATCGTAGTTGTAGGGAGGCCCTCCATACCCACAGCATGTCATCAGTGGCTTGTCAAAGCCTGAATGAAGAACACAAATGTTAAACGAGTGACCAAGGGGCTTCCCGGATGGTCTGATTGTGTGTGTTTTGTACTATACGATATGGGCGAAAACTAACGTGTTTTGTTTGCTCACCATATTTAGTGTGGTTGGCAACAAGATCATACTTGATGGGGAACATATCCGTGTATACAATCGTTGCATCTTTCATCTGCGCACTCAGTTCATCACAGAGGCTTCCCAGCGCTGTGTTGAATGCAACTGCAGCTCTGTTATAGGTCTTGAGACAGCCATACTGATCAAGATCACTGTCGTTTTCCTTGGTATGGCAAGCTTCTGTGGCAGGCAACCGAGAGCACCCGTCCCATGTATCCAAAAGTTTTTGCTACCATTGCTATATAGAGTCTGGGGTTTGACAAAAAAAAAGAATACAGAGATTAGTGGGGTGCAACCGTTCTCGTAAGTTAAGCAGGTACAAGGAATTACTAATAAAATCATCTCTTTTATGCATGTAGCAAGTTTGTACATTCGACATCAGAAAAGCATGTGCAATGAGGATTGCTGCTTGTGGTATCCAAAAAGAAAGTAAATTGTCAAATCGTACAAATAAGGGAAAAAATAAAAAATAGAAGGTTTACCTGGACAGCATCCTTAATCTCAGCAAGAATTGGTGGGAACTTGGCAATAACTTGATCATAGGGCAAGTTGGACAGAAGAGCGTTTACATCATTCTGGCCTATGTCTATCATATAGAGAGCATTTTGGAATCCTTGTGCATCAATTGGACCACTCAGTCCTGCATTTAACAAATATGGAAGCCAGTAAATTTACAGTCAACTGTTCAGGTAGAGCTCTCACTCACTGTACATATAAATGGTTCTCATCTTCGGTTCATTTGTACTAATTGGTTTTGTTTTTTTGAGGAATTATATATTGATTGAAGGGAGAAGGCATGATCAGAATTCAACAAACCTTGATCGATGAGTTCCAAGGATCTATCTCTGAAGTACAAGAACTCCTGGACTTGTATGTGCAACGCAAATGGAACATCTCGTGGTAGTGTTGCTGCACCAGCAATGGCAAAATTTGCACCGTTGCTGTAACTGGAACCCAATGCCTTCAAAAATGGGCTCAAGTAGCTGATGTTCAAGCTTTCACCTGGATGCAATTTGGGCCAAACTAAACTTTAGCAGGAGAACAACCATTTCTAGCATCAATTAGTGATTCGAAGTACATGGAAGAGAGACATGATCAAACAGAGCTACACAAAATAAAAATCAGCTATTTGGGATTATTGAAGTCTCTGATGAGCTTAAATCAGTACAGAAGAACAACTTGCGCAGATTACAAGGTGAACCTATCTCAATTCACATTTGGCAAGGCTTGACGATCCATGCATGCCAAAACTAGTGCTCAGATTCGCTTAAAGAAAACGAAGTTTCGTGAAAGTATTACTACCTTTTTATTTTCTCTGTGAAAAAAGGACTTAAACAGATACTCCATCAAAAAAGGACTTAAACAAATACTCCATCCGTTTCAAATTATAAGTCGCTTTGACTTTTTTTAATACATTCATTTTGCTATGCATCTAGATATAATAATATGTCTAGATACATACCAAAATGTATAAACAAAAAAGTCAAAGTGACTTATAATTAGGAATGGAGAGAGTAGTATATTTCATATCACCTTTATTGAGATGTGCATGCTAAGCCCTCCACAGCAAAGTGGAAAATGTAATATGTACATCACAATATTATAAAACTATTATCATAACAATTATAACCATACAACTCTATATATTTATCGAGATATTGATATATTAAATGATCACTTTCTATACTCTACTCTCTTTTTTTTGAAAAAAAGAAAGAAAAGATAATCTCAAAGTCAAAAAGTGTGTTACAGCGAGTGCAGCTAAGGGATCATGTGTAGCAGCCGCACTGAAGGTGTGAATGAATGAATGCCGCCATCCATGGATGCAGGCTGCCCCATTCAAAAGGAAAGCACATTGGTATTGAATGCTCATTGCAAAAAGGGGTTGATGCATATGGAAAAGCATATTATCTCTGCCCATCCTTGCAAAGTTTGGGCATTTCAATTCTCATCACGCGCGCACCGGCCTACAAATGCAGAAGATAGAGAGAACAGGGCAGAGACAGATTATCTCTCTCCTGTGTCAAGGAAACAAGGGAGCTGGGGCAGAGTCTGCTGCGACCATGAATGATCACAAGGACAGGAGACTAAATGAGATTAGACAGGGGCAAGGACAGCGACCAACCAACAAAGGCTTTGTTTAGATGTCATTCAAATTTCAAGTTTTTTCACTCTCTTTCCATTACATTAATTTTTAACCGCTTGCATAGAGTATTAAATGTAGATAAAAAAAATAACTAATTACACAGTTTAGTTGAAAATCATGAGATGAATCTTTTGAGCCTAGTTGGTCCACGATTGGATAATATTTATCAAATAAAACGAAAGTGGTACTATTCATCAGGTTGAAAAAATTTGCAAAGTGAACTAGTCCCAAGCTAGTAAGGCCTTGTTTAGATCCCATCAAAGTTCCAAGTTTTTTCACTCTCTCTCCATCACATAAATTTTTAGCCGTTTGCATAGAGTATTAAATGTAGGTAAAAAAAATAACTAATTACACAGTTTAGTTGGAAATCACGAGATGAATCTTTTGAGCCTAGTTGGTCCACGATTAGATAATATTTGCCACATAAAACGAAAGTTATACTATTCATCCGATTGAAAAAAGTTTCAATGAGTTACGAGTAGAGCGCTTCACGTGCTAGTCCTAAATTCAAGGTAGACTGGATCAAGAACAGAACAGAGCAGAATCCTCTGCAGAGTGCTGCTCTTTTGGGGATTTAGATGATGGCTGGAAATCGGTATGTAACACTGTAGCATTTTCATTTGTATTTAATAATTATTGTCCAATCATAATCTAATTAGGCTTAAAAGATTCGTCTCGTAATTTACGATCAAACTGTGTAATTAGTTATTTTTTTATCTATATTTAATACTCTATACGCATGTGTTAAAGATTTGATGTAATAGAAAAGAGTAAAAAACTTAGAATCTAAACCAGGCCGAGGACAGAAATGGAAGGGTGGCGGCAGACTGGACTCACAGAGGAAGTCGATGGTGAGGCGGCCGTCGCAGAACCGGCCGGTGGGGCGCGGGAAGAAGGCGCGGCCCTCGGGGCGCGTGAGGTGCCACCCCTTAGCCGCCGCCATGCCACCCGTGTCGGAGTTGGAGTCCCCGAAGTTGAAGAGCACCGGCCGGGAGCCAGGACGGCAGCTGAACCCGCTCGCCGCCGCCGCCGCTGGCAGCACGAGCGCCGACACTGCTGCTGCTGCCAGCGCCAGAGCCAGCAGCAGCGGTGCCGCCGCCGCGGGCAGCGAGAACGAGAAGGCGCGGCTGCTGCCCGCCGCCGACATTGGCGACCGACCACGCTTGACCCCTGTCCGTGGCACGTGACGTTCTGCTGCTCGGGAGAAGAGAGAGATAGATGTGGTCGCCTCTCCCTGTCTGTGTCGGGCACTGGATTCTGTGCCTGGGAATGGGATCGGGATCATGGGGTGGCGGCACCGGCATGGCTGCCTGGCACTGGCACTGGCATATATGCTGCGTGCGTGCTGGTGTGGTATGCAGTGGTGGGGAGGGGACGGATGGAGCTATCCATTTACGACACGGCTGCGGGAGTAACGCGCACTACAATCATGCCAACGTGAGTGCCGTCGTCGTTTTCGTTGCCGTGGGGAGCGACAGAGGGTGCTGCCTTACTCCACATAATACAAGCTTTTGCAAAGAGAATTATCTAGCGTTTTCCCCCTTTTTTTTCGATCATCCATCCACGGATATTGGGGTAAGAATATACATGATGCACGTTTAGTTGGATAGATAGGACGAATCATTTTTCTGTTTGGTTGGATGAATGAAAGTGGATAGAACGAGAATAGTTGACTAATTATATCTATTATTTAAAAATAATAACAACTAATTAGATACTAATAAATATGCACTAATACTAATTTTGTCGTGATAATCACTAATTTAAAATAAAATATGTTAATTAGCACCATTAATATCCTTATTAGCACACTAAACATGCATTAATCAACTTATTGTCACATATCAAAATTAATCCTAGTATCATAATTACTAAGTAATAATATAACATGCTAATAATCCTTTATTTATTTACTAATGACAAATATTAGAAGACATGTATAAGTTAGTCCGCCAGATTTTTTTTGACCAAGAAATCTAGCGTCTGGAGATATCCCTATCCATATATTTGCTTATCCCAGTGATCCACTAACCAAACGCTGCATATCCATCCCCATCCCATCCATGGATATCAAGCAACCAAACACACCTAAGTGGATTGAAAATACTGCGATCGTCGGTCGAAAAGAAGGGTCACTAGTAACCTGTAACCTCTCAAGGTCCAAGCCATAGATCGCTGGGTTTGATCAGCTATGTCACCACCCTACCCTGCCCCATTGGCGAATCTAGGATTTTAGCTTAAGATATGCCGTATAAAAATTTTCATATACAATTCGGTAAATCTATTTTAGCAATTCGGTAATAATTGTAAATTTTGTAATATGATTTGGTAAATTCAAGGATTAAGTTGAAATCATCCACTAAATACATTATAAATAGTTCAAATATAGGCATAAAAGAGTACCAGAGACTTACAATGTTATTTTTCTGATTGTTTTATTTGACGCTTTTGAAGAGACATGAATGTCTTAAGTATATCATCTTTATCAACTTCAAAGAAAACATGTCTTGAGTTAGAAGGATTGAAGGCCGACATACAAGACAACAACTCTATATTAGTCTACCAAGAGTCTGCTCTTCCACCACAGGTTCGACCAGATCAAGGAAACAACCGAATTTCTCTTCATAAGAGCACAAATATTAAAAACTATACTAAATAACTAAACAATTTATTATTTGTGATGTTTGCAAATTGCTATTGAAGTACACAATAATTTTCTAAAAAATAGAATAGCACAAGAAGACCGAATAACAAATTTTGGATTTCATCTAAATAAAATAACGAATCAAGAATCAAGAAGAGTAGATGACGAACCTCCGTGAGACTGTGACGTAATCTAATTAGTGCGACCGTTCAGGCGGCACGGCATGAGGTGACGTGTTCGATCACTTCGATGTTCCGTCCTCTAGCTCTGCCGCCTCCGATGGAGATTAGACTAGGCCATTAGGGATAGATTAGGGAAATTGGGAAAGTCTCCCGTACTCGTGTGGGCAGTGGGATTGCGTAACTGCGTATGCACGGCGACACCAGGTGGCCAGGCCATCAGAGCGTTTCGTAGTCCTTTGGTGGACTTACCGCATGGGCCGGCTCACGTGGGCCTTTCTTGGTGGCGTGATCCAGGATTCCACCAGGTAAGTCATTTTCTTATCTTTTTTTACAATACAGATGTTTATACATTATACGATATACCTATATACTATAATACTATGCTTGTCGGTGCTACAGGGTATGCCAGTGCATACCTGGCTCCGCCACTGCCCTGCCCTGCCCAAGAAAGAAACAAACAAATCTCTAATTTTGTCGGTTGCGCTGTTTTCTCCTTATACTCCTATACTAGTGCTTCGACGGCACGAGATGTCGAGATCTTGCCTCTTGTGGCATGCATGCATCTTGATCTTGTGCCAACACGTGAACCTTCGTTCTATGAAAACAATACACGTGACCTGCTGAACACCACAATCTATATTTGTTGCTTAATTATATTATTATTATGCCCCGTTAGTCACGGCTCCAACTGACTTTGGTTCCTGGTAGTCATTACAGTCCATGAATCCATTGTGGCTTTACGGGCTCTTAGTTCAGTTTGAGAAGAGAGATAAAAAAGGCTCCTTTCTACGGTGTACGGAGAAATCAGAGCTGGCTGGAATACAACCAAACAGGATCTCAGTTTTTTATCCACATTGGCCTCTATAGCACCACCTAAGATATGCAATGTGTGTGCAAGGGTGAATTTATATTGTGTGCTGCAGGTGGAGCCGTGCCCATGTCCAAACCAAAAATCAATTATCCCACTCAAATTTTTCACCACATACTTTTGCTAATAGATTTAGTTATATAGTGTCACACCTCTCTCTATTTTGGTCTAGCTCCACCCATGTATGTGTGTTTGGTTACCCTAAAGATACAAACTACAAGTAAGATTTGCCTGGACTGTGTTCTATCTAGTGGGTGTTAGGTCTTAATCATAATCAGGGTCTTAGTTAGCCTAATCAAGATCACATGAACATCCAATCCATACTTAGCCCTTAATCGCACTTAATTATCGCTAACCTTTAGACAAAGATATCCAAAGGGCTGCTAATGTCCATGTACCTGCTTGGGTAGCAGGCATATGCCGCTATTGGTGTAGAGGTGGAAGACGCCATCACTAGTAGAGGGGTGACGGCTGGTCTGTGGCCTTCAGCACCACTCCCCAGCAACCATGATCGGTAGGTCTTTCACATCATTTCTAATCACAAAGATGGCTCTATCTTATAGCTCGGTGTGGCCAGGGACCAGACCCATTAATTAGAGTTGTTAGGCTCCTCAAGTCTCGGTCAAGTTTTTGATCAACTAATATCAATTTTAACATGTTTTATTAGAAGTGGAGGAGGTGAGGAATGTACGTTTTTTTATCACAATTAACTTGTGCAAGCATAATTTCGTAATACAACCAAATCTTGGATAACATTAACAAGAATAGCAGTTACAACTTGCATTTTGCCATCAATACAAACAAAACAAAGTGGTTTCACAACCATGGCAATTCAGGATTACATATAATTAGGGGTGTAGGGGGATGATTAGCGTCCAACTGGTCAGCAGCAGTTGCCGACCACCCTCCTTTTTCTTTTGTTTGGAATGAAGGAATAGAAAACAGAGGAAAATGAAAAACAAAAGAATAGGGCAGAAGAGTATTAGCAAAACAAATGAACGAAAAAAGACATGAAATTTCATAAATTGGTGTTTGGAATGGAGGAATCAAGAGCATTGGAAATTGATTTTACGTGGGACCCTATGGTGTAGATCAGGTTTAGTCTCATAGGAACTGCTTGTTCTTTACCCCTATGGTGCAGATCAGGTTTAGTCACCCAAGAATTGCTTGTTCTTTACCCTCTTCTTAGTACTCTTTGCCTCATGCTTCAGCGAAGGAAGAGAAAACCACATATCAAACTGGGTTTTCTCATTCCTGTGAAATGGCTAGCTAGCTATAGGATTCTAGAGGAAAGGGAGAGGCGATTCATCCATTCCAAACGCACATTTCAAATTCCTTTCCCCAGTTTCCAATTCCAACAAATTCCTTTCATCAGTTTCCAATTCCTACAATTTCATTTCCCCAGTTTCCGATTCCTACAAATTCCTTTGATATTCCATCAGTCCAAACATAACCTTAAATTGTATTTCGTGGGACTTAAGATTTAATAACCAATATTTGGTTTGGTGATTTTTTAGACTATTTCTTTGGTCTGTTTCACAAAGATTTAAATTAACATAAAGTTTGTTCAAGTGAAACAAATGTTTGTGCACCTAGAACAGATCATCATACTTTCTAAACAAAAGTTTGTAGCTTGAGGTTTAACAAGAATTTTTAAATTAGAACAAAAGTTTATTCAAGTGGAACAATTTTTATATAGCATGAAAAAAACATATATCACCTAGAAAAACTCATGCTAACTCATCGATGGGAAAGGAATTTTTTTTTTTTTGCAAAATCGCATTACAAACATAGACAAATCTTGGAATAAATCCAAAAAAATATGAACATAAACGTTAAGTCAAGGACTAAGTAAGCATGTTCTACCATAAGAAACCTACTTGGCTAAGCTATGCAGGTACGTCTTAAACAAAAAATAATGGACATGTTCTAATGTTAGAACAATAATATTTGTATAAATTAACTTGGATTTATATATAGACATGCAAAAAAATATTTGCACAATTAGAACATGAGTTTGTTCATGTAGAACAATATTTTTTCGCAAATTTAAATAAAGCATGGACCAATAATTGCTACAAATATCTTATAAGAATTTGAAATTTGTAAAATGATTGAATAATATAGTAGGACAAGAAGTTACAAACAGAAAAAAAAACATATAACGAAATTAAATCTAAAAGAAGAAAGAAAAATTAATGTTAACCCAACTTAAACAATACTAGGCCGAACATATACTGTTATATGGCCAATATGGGCCCATCGAACAAGCATGGGGAAGACGTTGAGTTGTCGACCCACTGAGGAACAAGAACTCTCGACCACCTGTCCATCCGAAAGCCAAGTTAATGGCCCAAATGTTTAGTTCTCAGTCCTCATCTCTCACTCAGTCTATCTCAACTAGTAGGCGATTCTTGTGGTCGGGCGACCGAGAATCCGACTAATCAGGGCCT